CTGAAAAAAAAAACAGCCTCCAGTCTGTCAGGACTGGGAGGGCGTTTTTTTTTTTACCAGTAGACTGTTCACTGAACAGAACAGTGTTCAGAATGAATCCGTTTTGTCAGTGACGAGCCTACAATTCTACAAATCCCTGATCAACAGGCTGATGTGCAAGTACTGGCATGCCATGATTGCGAAGCTGTAGGGCGTTTTTTTTACCAGTATTTACTGTTCAGAATGAATCCGTTTTTGTCAGTGACGAGCCTACAATTCTACAAATCCCTGATCAACAGGCTGATGTGCAAGTACTGGCATGCCATGATTGCGAAGCTGTACTGCATTGGACGACGTCCACGTCCACCGGATCAGTCTGTTCGTATTAGCCACAAGAATGCATGAGCCATTCTCGTTTATCTTTCAAGACCCGAATACCTTCTTTGTCGCGGGATCCCTCTTTGAAGTCATGCGCAGTATATTCTACTTTGCTCTTGCCTTCGCGGCTTTGACTTGCAGCAACGCTTCCGCAGCGTTCCCGAATCCCGACGAAACTCGGCTCTTACCAGACACTTTTACCAAAAGATCCCTTCGGGTCGCAGGCCAAGAAGTTGCCCGGGGCGACCGGGGCGAAGAGATTGTGAGAGTTATAGTCCAGAGTACTAACAAAATCTTCAAGAGACCGGCGGAAAAAGACATGAGCAAACTGATTGCAGCGGCTAAGATTGCGATGTTGGAGAAAAAGATGGCTAAGCTCTCATTCGTCGGTAAGAAGGCAGCGAAGTAGCCTCTGATGCGGAGACAGAATACTTGTGCATAAGTGCTGTATTAATAATTGCTCATTTCAGAATGAATCATCACTTATGATACAAGAACACTTTGAATAGCATTTAAATCAGTTACTTATGTATGATCATATTATTTGCGTATTTATGAATAACACTATGACAAATAACGAACGTTTTAAATAAACATACTCTAGTTTGGTAGTACTACGTAGTAGTATACTACCAAACTAGAGTAGTAGTACTACTAAACAGTAATACTCAATTCCGCCTCGCTATTATTACAGGTATACCGTGTACTGTATGATGTATAATGCTTAAGTACGTAGCGCGAGGAATTGAATTGAAACAACTTACACGAACAATAAATAGCTATAGTACAGGCGTCCTTGTACCCCCCCCATTCCGCCACCCCTCCTTTTTTAGGTAAAGGTGTCATTTTAAGGCGCTACACACAACACATTAATGTTTTGCCAAAGAGCTTGAGTAACATATCGTGGAGGGTGCGGCTTGCATGTCTCATCAAGTGAAGTCCTAGGCGGCTTCAATATGTCCTTCAGTGTCCAACCATCTAGTCTAACACCTTATAAGTAGTATAATTCAAGGATTGGTCTGTAAAAAAAACTTTCCTGAAGCGAACGCCCCCAGCTAAATGGGATCGGTCACCGAAACAAACGCCCATACCATCAGCCAGTCGATTCCGTCGAGTTAACTACACATTACTCACTAGCGATAAGTTAGTTTACCCTTATATTACGGACTATGGGGAAATACACCCTCAGTACATACGAGGTACCGTCCGAGAAGTTCTGGCTGTGGTACGGGATGGTCTACATGGCAGCCACGTACGTGTTCTTCCTGTTCCTGTCTTGCATCGCACTAGAGTACCATCGCTTCGAGCGTCCAGAAAATGTTGTACTTACAGATGAGAGCAAAGTTGACGCAAAAGACAGCTACACGCTCACTCGAACGCCGCGAGGATCACAGAAACACAGCGAGTCAGTGATTTCGGTCGACCACGCACGAGAAAAGTACTTTGTACCGGTCACCGTGGCGTTCCAGGATTTATGGTACACTGTACCAGACCCGACCAACCCGAAGAGAACCATCGACTTGCTGAAAGGCATCTCTGGGTATGCACTACCAGGCACTATCACTGCGCTTATGGGCCTGGCAAGACGACGCTGATGGACGTGATTGCTGGACGGAAGACTGGCGGTCAGATCCGCGGTCAGATTCTGCTCAATGGTCATCCTGCCACAGATCTGGCTATTCGACGTTCGACGGGGTGCTGTGAGCAGATGGACATTCACTCCGAGTCGTCTACCATTCGTGAGGCGTTGACATTCAGTGCGTTCCTACGTCAAGGCGCCGATGTTCCAGACATGATTCTGTAAACGAGTGTATAGATCTTCTAGATCTAAATCTGATCGCTGACCAGATCATCCGTGGCAGCTCCGTGGAGCAAATGAAGAGACTGACGATCGGAGTGGAACTCGCTGCACAGCCGAGTGTCTTGTTCCTGGACGAACCGACGAGTGGGTTGGACGCTCGATCGGCCAAGTTGATCATGGATGGAGTTCGAAAAGTGGCGGATACGGGGCGTACCATCGTGTGTACCATCCACCAGCCATCTTCCGAGGTTTTCAGTGTGTTCGACAGTCTGTTACTGTTGAAACGTGGAGGTGAGACAGTCTTTGTTGGCGAGTTAGGTGACAACGCACGTGAAATGATCGAGTACTTTGAGTCGATTGAGGGTGTAGCAATGCTTGAAGCCGACTACAACCCGGCTACGTGGATGTTGGAAGTGATCGGTGCTGGCGTCGGTAACAGCAACGGAGACAAGACGAATTTCGTGGAGATCTTCAAAGCGAGCACTCACGCTCAGCGTCTTCGGTCGAGTCTAGACCAGGAAGGTGTGACTCGACCGTCACCGTCATTACCAGCACTCGAATTCAGCGACAAACGCGCAGCTTCCGAGCTCACTCAAGCGAAATTCCTGTTGAAACGCTTCTGCGATCTCTATTGGCGTACATCTTCGTTCAACTTGACGCGGTTCGCTATCTCACTTGGAATGGGATTAGCTTACGGAGTCACATACATTGGTACAGAGTATAAGTCGTACTCAGGTGTCAATTCCGGCTTGGGCATGCTCTACATGATCACGAGTTTCATCGGCCTCATCGCGTTCAACGGATTGATCCCCGTAGCGTACGAAGAGCGTGCTGTATTCTACCGTGAACGAGCATCTCAAACTTATAACGCCTTCTGGTATTTCTTCGGACTGGGAGTCATGGAAATCCCGTACGCTGCCTTCGCAGTGCTGTTGTTCCTCATCCCGTTCTTCCCAATGGTGGGGTTCTCGGGTGTCGGAGTCTTCCTAACTTCGTGGCTGGTCTTGGTGCTTCAAGTGCTGCATCAAGCGTTCATGGCGGACCTCCTCGTCTTCCTCTTACCGAATTTAGAGGTGGCGGAGATCGTCGGTGTGCTGCTGAATCTTCTTGGCTACTTGTTCTCGGGCTTCAGTCCTCCAGCTTCTACACTGCCATCGGCGACCGTGTGGCTGTATGACATCACTCCGATGAAATACAGCACTGCGGCGTTCTCTGCTGTGGTGTTTGGAGCCTGCAGCAGCGACGGAGATCTGGGATGTACGCGGATGACCAACGTGCCGCCATCTCTACCTCAGAACATCACTGTGAAGGAGTATCTGGAGACAAACTTCTTGATGAAACACAGCGAGATCTGGAAGAACTGCGGCTTCTTGCTCCTCTTCGTGGCTCTCTTAGGCGTCTTCACATTGCTGGCGATGCGCTTCTTGAATTTCCAGAAAAGATAGAGAGTACAACTTTAGCTCGTGTCGATAATAAACACTTTTTTTTTAATTCGATACCGGTACAGCAGTTTTTGAAAACTTTGTGTTGGAACAGCACGAACAACGAGTAAATTACTTACTGAAAATAAAAACGGGATAATAAGAGCGGTCATAATTAAATTAACAATCGGAATGCGCTAAACGGACAGCTGAGTGGCCTAAATTACGCGGATTACAGTGAATTTCTGGTCGATCAAATCGGTCAATTCGTCGCAAAGATATGGTGACGCAAAGTTTGTAGTGCCAAATTCGAAATTGGAAAGTCTTCGCTAGGCCGTCAGTTTTGCATTAAGTGGCATGAAAACTTGTTGAGTCGTAAAACTTGCCATCGCCTATCGAATGGTGCTATTGATAGCGCGTAACTCGACTGTGACTTTTAGCAGTGGTTGCCAACAACAACACCAATAGTTTGAGCGTACTTAGCCGAACTACAACAGTATCCTAAAATGACAAGGAGCCGCTAATATTTTCGGACACGGTTTTAGACAGTACTGTCTTTCGATTAACGGCTAATCGAATCGCAATCGAATTTAAGTCGGTTTGGTGACACAATCGGTCGATCTCAAATTTAAAGAGTAAAAAAAATAATTATGCTTTAATTTTAAAGCTGCGGGGTTAAATTTAACCAGGATTTAGTCAGCTTAGAAAGGGGATAAGATTCTGGGCTCTATTTATCGGCGTTCTCTCATCATTTGAGAAAGTAAGTAGATAACGGGTTCGTACTGCACAGATAAATTTGTCGAAGTACCAGGGGATATGACGACTAATCTCCGAGCTGCTCATAATCGATGCGTTACCTTAGCGCTGCGTGCATATTCATGATCATATACCGCTAATCAAATCTGTATACGACTATACCATGCTTCCATCTCGTCCGCCCACTAGTGCCGAATGCTATTATACCATGCTCAACCGATTTAAAAAAGGCTTTTGATATGACCGTGTTTTTTTTCTCGAAATTCAAGAAGCAATGTGACGACGCCGAAGAGAGAGAAGCAAGAAGCTGCTTTTATTAAAAAAAAATGTCAAGAAATTTATCTTCAGGTACCCCTTTACAGTAACGTTCTGAGCTACATGTACAGTAATACATGTAGCAAAGGACTCGGCCCCAATGGCAATTCTAAATCCTGCAACGCGGCGAAAATCCAGTCGTGGGTTAATTTTGTCGTCCCATTGCATACATTGAAGATTACCATAATTCTGTTCAGTATCATGATAAAGAAGCGGCGTCTACAATTCTACATGCACTGCAGAGCATAGACTCTATTAATAGGCTATGATAGAGCGCCAGCCTTCTCTAAAAAAGGAGGCAGACGAGCCCACATTGAAAAAAGAGTAGATATGGCGGCAATCCGAGTACTGTATTAAGGCATAAAAACATGCATACTGAAATTGCATGTTTATTTAAGTTTTAAGAGCTAAAAGTCTTATCTCGGGACAATGCCAGTCGAGGACTTATAGACAGAGGTGGCAGCTGGAGGCGTCAAGCCCCCTGACAGTCAGTCGGACTGACTACAATCAATTAACCGGCATCTGCCGTCTATACAGTGGACGCCTTCCAAAAATGGAGAAATCACCCGACATATAAAAGATATGTGTGCATAGAGGTCGTTGAGCCCCGACATACCTGCAGCAGGTATGTCGGGGCTTAACGACCTCTATGCCAACATATCTATTTCTTGGCTCACCAAAAATAGAGTAAGAGAGGTTGCTCTGGTCGATGTAGAGTGTCCCCTACGTGCGATTGCACTTGAGTTAGTTATTCATTTTGCGTGTTGGGGCTTTTAAAACAGAACAAAAACTCAACAAATCTTTTTGGATTCCGCTTGAGGTTCGCCACTTTCCCTTTGGAAGCCATCGTGGGCAAGACGCGCGAGGAAGACGAAGACAGTGACGTTCTACTGCTATTGTGTGATGAGTACTTGAGGCGCGAGGCAAACCTGGGCAGTGTCCGCCGTGACGTACACGAGGCCATGATGAAGAGCACATGGCGAGCTGCAATGCGCACTCGTCATTACTTGACGGTGGGCTGTTTGGATGCGCCCTGTGTTGCCGCGTGGATGGCTCTCTACAGGAACGGCGTGGACTCAAGCTTTCTGAATGCTCTTAGTCTGACAAGTTACGTTACGGATGTCCGGGTGTGTTATCGGGGGGGGGGGGGGGAGAGATCTAATTATATACCGTCACGTACTACACAGAGCTGCATTCAAGCACTTACTGCGCCGGTTTGCGCGCTACTACTACATCCCTCCAGCCAGAAGCAGAGGACGGCCGCCAAAATTGCGCTACCATCATCAGGCTCTAGGTCTCGTTCTCTGCTTCTACGTCGGGTCGATGGAAAACGGAACGCTGAGCATGTTGTTTGGGGTGCCTCCGAGCACTTTATCTCGGACGCTGCGCAAAGCCGAAGAGGCGCTGTCGTGTGCACTTCGGGATTTCTCTCCAGCGCGGATTTCATGGCCGTCACCTTCTCGCCAGAGAGAGCTTGCCAGCTTGGTGAACGCACGCGAGCCGTTGCTGGAGCATACGTTCGGGTTTATCGATGGAAAGAACTTCCGTGTAAGTACGACGTTGGATGCCTTGTAATATCTCTTGACGGGTAACGTGATGCTGTTACTATTTACGTTTGCAGGTGCAGCAGCCTTCTAACTCCGACCTTCAAAACGCAATGTACAATGGATGGCTACACTCGGTTCTAGTCACGGGTACTATTTGTTTTGCCGCAGACGGCTGCATTATCTGGGCCAAGCATAATTGCCCTGGATCGTGGAACGATTCAGATACGTCTCTCGGTTTCCGCATGAAACTTCTGGATCCTGTGTATTGCCCTGACGAACGCATGAACGTTGTGTCAGACTCCGCCTTCCCGTGCTCCACGGCAATGACAGGCAGGATCCTGACTCCGCTGAAAGACGGAGATCTCGAGAGAATTGAACCGTCGCTTCGGAGTTCAGCGCGGACGCTGCACAACGCCATCACTTCGGTGAGGCAGGCTGCAGAGTGGGGAATGGGCAGCGTGCAGAAGGTCTATAGTCGCCTAAATGTGCCGCTACCCTACGATCCGAATCTCCGTGGTCTAAGGCTCAACAACATATTCCGTATGGCGAATTACCGCGTGCGGACGGTGGGTATCTCGGAGATACGAACAACGTTTATGGGAGCGATAGAGATGACGTTGTAGCTCCAGCTGGGTGGTGGGTATTGGGAGAACTTGGATATGTTCATTTGCATGACTAGCTTTTACCCAAGAACGAATACAAGTGCGGTTATCGGACATTTTCAGCCGTGTCGGTGGTTGCTTGGCTCGCTACGGAGGGCTGGTTTCAAAATGCAACGCTACAAAATACACTTCCTCCCTCTCGGTCCATTCCCGACGGGTGCTTTCGGGTCTGCGAATCTGATCTCTTCACTCCTTCTTCACCAGAGCACTGATGAAGAACATCAGTTCCTGGGAGTGCGCACGGGCCTCCTCTTTATCGCGGCGAGCTCGTTCCTCCGTCTCCAGCTTCTCTTGCCGACGGCGTTCTTCGGCCTCCAGCTTCTCGGCGTGGTAACGCGCCTCGCGCGCCATGACTTCATCGCGGCGACGCTGCTCTTCTTCCGCCCGGCGAGCTTCACCCCTACGTTCGCTATCCTCACGCATGAGGTTCATCATCTCGACAATATTTGTACCCATGGCCCCGGACGAGCTTTCTAGGTCACCCAAGCGCTTCTTCAGCTGTGTGGCCGCCTTGATAGCCTTCGCCCGCTTCACCTTGGCGTAACTCGCCTCGTGAAGGTCTTGGTCGTCGTCGGCATCTCGCTTGCGGCCAATGGTTCCACGAAACTCGGCAAGATTGCCCCCTCCAAGGCGGTTGGAGGAGCTAAGATAGCGCTTCGATTCCGCAGCACGGCGCGAACGATCGGCTGAGCTCTGCTCTTCGAGGACCGCAGTTGAGGTTGTGTTTTGCGATTGACTGGGCTTCGGTAGACCAGCGGAGCGAAGTTGGCGTTGAGTGGATCGGTCGGGCCCAGATGATGACCTCGGAGTGCTGGCGAATGCCTCCAACCCGTCATGAACAGCGGCAGACTCGAGGAGCTCGGCGAAGCTACTGGCTGCGTCCGTGATGTTGATACCCGGTTCGTTGGGCAAACTGGGCAAACTGCTGGATCCCTCACGGTGAGGAGTATCGGTGTTAGAGAGGCTTCCACGAGCAGAGTCAGTCGTGTTGCTCACTGAGCTGGGGTCGTTGCCGATCCCGTCGTCTCCATCAAAGTTAAAGGAGAAATCTGGGTGCTGCTCACCCTCTTCCTCCTCTTGGTCATCTACGTCGGCTCCGTCGTCCATCTCCTCAACACTCGCCTTATCGTCGATACTTTGCTTGAGCTGTTTAGCTTCCTTCACGTGGGGAGGCATGTCAGCGACTCCCGTGGGCTTACGGATACTGTACAGCATCTTGAACTTGCGCCGGAGACTCTCGTAGTCGCGCTCTCCAATGCCCCGACCGCGGTTCGAGTTGTACATGCTGGCAAGACGCTCCCATTCGTCCTTACCAAGCGGCAAGAACTTAGCAACAAGACTCAGCAGGCGTTGCACCTCCGTGAACTTGTAGTTGGTGGATCCAGTTAGTTTAGCCATCTATCATGAAATAAACAGCAATTGATGAGACGTCAGTACGAAGTAGAGGAAGCAATGAAGAGTTTGGCAGCGTACCGGGACGAAGTGAGCGCAAGAGGCGATCGAAGACAAACACTTGGTCGGGAACGGGGCTTGGACTTGCTCGGATGGGAGTAAAACCAAAAATGAGACTTCGGGGACGTCGTTCGCTGTGTCTGGAAGCCGCACTGTGGCAGCGCGCCCTTGGACGCGTGAGTAGCTAGCTATCACAAGGTTTCGCGCCGAAACGAGCGCGCGCTAACAAAGATCTACGAGTTCACGAACCATACAGTATGGAGTCGCGTTTTGGCGCGAAACCCGTGCTTGC